CCCTAAGGTGACCCTATCATGGGGTTTTCCTGGCAAGATTTGTTCAGAAGAGGGTTGCCATTGTGTTTCCCTGAGGCTGAGAGTATGTGACTTACCCAAGGTCATCCAGTGGGTTTCATGGCCGAGCCCTGGAAGTGTGTGGGTTATATATACTGTGTGACCCTTGGTTGAAAGGATTAGCATATAAATCTGTGTACTGTTCTGTTGAGGCAAGGCCTCAGGGTGGCCTTAATCCTCTCAACCAAGGGTCACACAGTATATATATCCCACACACCTCCATGTCACCATTCTCTGAAGATGCAGGCAAAATGTCAGGAACACATTCTTCTAGAACACGACCTCACAGCCCGAAAAACCCACAAAAACCTATTAAATATTTTTGTTTCCTTGAAAGGTCTAAAGCCTTAGGAAACATAAACTACTCCACATTATTATATTTATTTGTACTCTGTTCTTTTCCCATTAAAATGGAATTACATTATTACAATGCAAGGTCTGTTCAGAGGAGGTTTGCCACTGCTTTCCCCTGAGGCTGAGAGAGTGTGACTCGCCCAAGGTCACCCAATGTGTTTCGGCCCCCAACAACCCAAAGAGACTGGTCTGAGTTGTGTAGGGAGGGCTAAAAATTAAAAATGGGGCTCCCTCCCAGTAACAATCCCGGGTCTCCCCAATATTTGCAGCTTCACCTCCTCCTGGGTCGCTTCTCAGCTGTGCTTTCGCCTTTCTCGCCTCACTAAGGCATCATATTCACCCTTTCGGAAGCCAGTTTCCACTTCCGGAAAGAGGAAGTGACCGCTCCTTCTTCTCCTCTCTAAGGCTTTTATTTTTTAAAAAAAATGCCGCTCTAGGAACTAACGTACTCACTGATCACTTGGAGGACTCACTGCCAAGATGGCTCCCCCTCATGAAAAATATTGCCAAGTTTCCACAATATAAATTGAGCTATCTCCTCCTCCTCCTCCTCTATTATTATTATTATTATTATTATTATTATTATTATTATTATTATTATTATAGAAATTGTTTTACTGTAATAAGTTTTAAAGAGATGATGATGATTTGTATCCCACTTTCCCCCTCAAAACTGGGACTCGGAGCAGCTTACAATTTAAAAGAGCAGTACAATGAAAAACATACAAAAGTGATGCATTAAAACAGAATTAAATTATTACAATATCAAAACAAGTCACTTGTGAGTTTTTTTTAATTTTTATAAAATTTATTCATTCAAAACACACACACACACACCCAGAAATTAGCATGAGAAAGGTAGATCAAGAGCGCAAAAACATTGACAAATGCTTACATAGAACATAGGGCATGTGTTATGTTATTTTGATCTTGAAATGCAAAGCAAATCTCCTTGCAATTATTTGTTCTATTGGATTAGTCTTTTCCAAACAGAACCATAGGTCTATAGAATATGACTTCTTTCCTCGTTAATTTGATTCACATAATAAATGGGAACCATCTTACCTCAAAAGTATTATTATCTTTGTTGTTTTGCTCGTCTTACTTGCCATGTAAGTCTTTCTGATAGTGCTAATTAAAACAAATCAATGGAAAGAATAAAATACAGTTTAAAAACAGAAGAATTACATATTAAAAATCTTGCTTAAACGAGAAGGTCTTTGTTGGCTAGAGAAATGAAAGTACCGTATTTTCCTGCGTATAAGACTACTTTTTTACCTGCAAAATCTG